ATAATGCTGAAAAAGCTCAGAGATGATCTAAAGCTTCAAAAATTTTGATTTGTTTACTATAATTTATACGAACATTGCCAAAGCTTCTTTGCACTGATAGTCAGGTAAACTCACCATTTTGCAGCTGGTCTTATGGATACTTTCTGGAACTGCTTTTAGTTTCATGGCTAGCAGCTGTGCTTGGAGAGTCTAGGAAAAAAAACGACACATGGAAATGTAATTAACTCTACCAGCTGCATCCTAGACTGCCTCACCTCAGCATCATTGTTTGAGTAAGATTCACAGAATTCCAGATGCAAACTTGATATTTTGTCTGTGAGGAAAGCCTCATCAGCTAACTGAGGAAAGCAAATGAGAGGAGCCCTTAAATATTCTTTTTGATCCACAGCTGCATTTCTGTCACAACCATCAAGAATAAACTGTGTATTTGTGCCTTCCCTTTCAGAGCCAAAACATTTTGCATTGAATACCCAAAGTGTCTTTTCTTCCATGAGGAGTAAGGACAAAGCAGTAATTAGACATAGGGGACTTGATGGCTTTTCAGATCATACAAAGCAGGGGTCTCCAACCTTGGCAACTTTAAGACTTCTGGACTTCAACTCCCAGAATTAATTCTTTTAGACTCTAACTTGGTGTGTCTAAACTGTAACTCGATCCCATTGTTTAGATCAGAGGTCTCCAAACTTGGCAACTTTAAGACTTGTGGCTTTGCTGGTTGGAGAATTCTGGGAGTTGAAGTCCACAAGTCTTAAAGTTGCCAAAGTTGGAGACCCCTGATACAAAGCACAATATGATATGTATTCCTCTATTAGACTTGACATAGTTTGGCCTTTTTACATAATCTGTTAAAATAAGGAGTGCTTGATCTCTTCCATTTCACCAGTTAGCTAACATAAACCTGTCTCCTTCTAGTATTTGAACAAAATGCAGCCTATAAAGTCCACCATCTGAAATAAAAATATCTTGAAATGAAGCTTTTTTCCCCAGAATGGTCACAAATGTCCATTTAGAAAAATGTCCATTAGAAAAACACAAGTTCTGTCCAACTTTTCTTTCCCAAACTAGAACCATATTATTTTGTTCCTTTCCAAATATCTGAGTTTCTAAAAATTTGGGCAGCCTATACAAGGATGTCAAAATGGCAGCCTATGGGTCAGAGGCATCACATGCAGGCCACACCAACCCCAGTTTTTTCCATGAAGAAAAAAACATCGCAATACATTACATGACGGCAACATGACGCCGCGAGTTTGACCCTTGTGCTATATAGCAAGGGATCCCCAACCTTGGCAACTTAACAACTTGCGGACTTCAACTCCCAGAATTCCCCAGCCAGCATAGCTGGGGAACTAGCTGGCAGTTGAAGTCCACAAGTCATAAAGTTGTCAAGGTTGGAGATCCCTTGCTATAGAGTGCTTCCATGTGAATCATTTCTTGTGAAAAGGCACGGCCTCACTTGTGAATTTAAATTAGCGGAATGGGGATATCATGGGGTGAAGGTTCACATTATGAAAAGTTGTGTGTTAATCCTCTAGTGTTTTCCTTGCTCCCATCATTTTTTTCCCCTACAATAATCAGTTCTGTTAATGGAGAGAGTAGTTGCACAATGTATTTGAGCTGCTAGCACAGGGAAACATTTCTTGGGAAGTCCGTCTACTCCTGCCCTACCCTCACTGCAAATGCATATGCTTTTGTCCCCTGTAACTTTGATTTCACAATCAATGGTGACCAGTTGTGGCCCTTTGATTCTGCATTAAAAGAGTTCAAGTAAGCCCTTGTCACCAGAGAAATATGTAAGGGTTAGGAATCCTAGGTAGACACTAAGTAGAAGAGCAGATGTAAAGATAATGATCAAGAGACCTTCATCTGAAAGAAATTTAGAAAGCTTGCAGGAGGTTCACAGCATGAAAAGCCAATACTGGAAGTGAACTTTAAAGGTGTTATGGGTATTTTGATTCTTCCCCTTCTAATACAATGCTGCTGCAGTTCATTCCCTATAGAAATAACAATTTTTAAAGGCGTCATTCCGTCAATGGAATCAAAAGTCTATAGCGTTGCTAAAAGATGATTTATGCAGTCAAAATCAGATAGGGTAAAGCACTGTGTTCTCAGATCCACAAAAATGTTTTGAGTCCATTGACTGCTTGACAAAACAAATTCCACAGCCCTTTATAAAGGTAGCTTGCTTCTTAATTACTCTTGAACCCCAGATTAAACAAGGCCACTTTGTAATGGGGAAGAATGATCAGTGGGCCTGAGATAAATTTGGCATCCAATAATAGTTTTTACGGCCATGAGGTGAGATTACTTTTCATTCCTGAGGAATTCAGAGTAGTGTTTTGATCCAATTTCAGGATGAATCCAAAATGGCTCCCTGTCTTGATTAGAAAAGGCCCGGGGACCTCCAGTTAAAACCTGCTTTTAATCACAATGAAGAATATGTGTGTGTATTGTTCTTTTTAATCCCCCTTTATATAAATGTTTCGTTTCCTCTTATTATTTCTTTGGCCACAAGTTCCTTTCAGCCCTCTCCTCTCGTTCCTTTGAATTTTTCACTCGAAATACTCACTTTTGGCGTTATTGCTTACTTCATCATTGTCTCCTTGTTTTTTCTGCCTCTTTTTTTAATATTAATCTCTAACCTGCTTTTTTTTTTAAAAAAAAATGGTTTTGGTCTTCTTTTCTACATATACATTTTCTCTCTCTTTATCCCTTCAGGGAGCTCCGGGAGAGGCTGGCATGTCCATCATTGGTCCTCGTGGGCCTCCAGTAAGTTTCTTGGTCTTCTGATTATTACTTCTTAATGTTTAAAACAATGTTTTTTAACCTTGGCAACTTTGTGTGGACTTCCAGTATTCCCCAGCCAGCCAATACTGGGAGTCCATACATCTTAAAGTTGTCAAGGTCGAAAGAAACTGCTTTACAGGGAGGGTTAGGGAATCCTAAGAGCATACTCTGTTCTCAAGCGGCTGTATTACGATGCGGTTTCTGCCAGTGGCTAAGTTTGTTTTTACGCTGAAATTGCAGAATGTATTGGTTAGAAAGTGCGCCGCCTCAGCACAAAAATCTCAACGCGATTTTATCCGCATTTTTCTCTCCTATGTTTACAAAGGAAGAAAATATTCCTAGATCTAAACAGAGAAACCAACACCAGATTATACAATCTCAGCATTTCAGCAAAGCATAAATATAAGGAAAAGCAGTCAACTGTTCATAGAGAATTCAGAATCAGCCCAGGAGAAAATTGCAGACGCATGCATAAGGCAATTCTGTACACATGTAGAGGTACAGAGAAAATCCATTTCACAGCAGGAGGTTTTGGGACAAGTAGAAATGATGCGAGCTACATTTGCCAATATCCTTTTCATGTGTCTATTTAATGTAGAGAAAAGCAAGGTTTTACACACAGAAAAGAGGAAACAAGTATAGAGGTACAGATGAGGTGAAACTTGGCTTAATAGGAGGAACCGTGAGACGGATCTTGGATTCCTAGTGCACAATTACTTAAATATGAGGCAGCAGTGTGCTGCAGCCACCAAAAAAGCCAATGTAATTCTAGGCTGCATTAACAGAGGGATAGAATCAAGATCACGTGAGGAGTTATTATTGCTTTATAAGGCTCCGGTAAGACCACACTTGGAATACTGCATCCAGTTTCAGTCACCACAATATAAAAAAAGATGTTTAGACTAGGAGTTCAGAGAAGAGCCACAAAGATGATTAGAGGACTGGAGACTAAAACATATGAAGAACAGCTGCAGGGATTGTGTCTGGCTAGTCTAGTGGAAAGAAGGACCATGGGCGGTATGATAGCAGTGTTCCAATATTTGAAGGGCTGCTACAAAGAAGAGAGTGAGCCTGTTTTCCGAAGCACCAGAAGGCAAGACAAGAAACAATAGATAAAAACAAGCCTAGAACTGAGGAGAAATTTCCTGTTGGGGAGAAAAATTAATCAGTGGAACAGCTTGCCTTCAGAAGTTGCGAGTGCTTCATCACTAGAGGCTTTTAAGACAAGACTGGGCATCCATTTGTCTGAAATGATATAGGTCTTCTGTTTGAGCAGGGAGTTGTACTTAGACCAGGGATTGTCAAGCTTTTGGACCTCAGGGACCACCAAACTCATTTTAAATCCTGTGGACCAGAGACCCTGGGAAAATCCCCCCAAAAGTCTGCAAGAAAATTCCCCACCCTGTTTTCCTACTGATCGATCATTCTTTATTTGGGATCTCAGGATATCGTCTCCAGCTGAGAGAGAGAGAGAGAGAGAGAGAGAGAGAGACTTTTGGCTTCATGCAAGGAAAGCAGCAGAAGCAGCAGAAGTCTTTCTTTCTCTCCCCCAAACTCCACTAGAAATGAGTCTTTGTGAGACTTTTTGCACCGGCGCAGCCTCTTGGAGCAGGATACCTTGGAGGGTCCCAAAGACTCATTTCTGGTGGAGTTGGAGGAGAGAAAGAAAGACTTTTGCTGCTTTCCTTGAGTGCAGCCAAAAGTAGGAGAAGAAGTGGAAAGAAGCAGCCAGGTGGCCAGGCCAGGCACGTGAGGCAAGTGAGGCAAGTTTCCCCACCACCTCCCTTTCCCCCCACCCCTCACTACCTCATGTGGTTCATAATCCAAGCGAAACAAGCCTTGTGTTCCCACAGGCCATGTAGGCGGTGTGGTTTTGTGTTACCGCGCAGCCTGGATTAATTGCTTTGGGGGTGCTTTGGGGGTGACATTTCTCTGTGGACCACCAAAATATTCTCCCCGGCCCACTGGTTGGCGACCACTGGACTAAAAGACTTTCAAGGTTCCTTCCAACTCTGTTATTCCAACACACTTACTTTGGCTACTTTGGGCCTGCTGTTTCTAGCCCATTCTTGGTAACCTTGTTGTATATAATGATAAAACCACTTAATCTGAATTTGAGACCCATCCCTAGGGAACACTTTTTCCCCTAAATTTTACTAGGTCAAGTCTACGGGAGTACTAAATAGTTCCGGGCTGTGAGTGAAAAAGTTCTGCCTTGTGTCTGTAACAATTAACAGACAAAGGAAGGACAAAGGGAAATGTTCTTCCTTCAATCTGAGAATCAATTGTAAAAAATTATTTAGTTTAATGGCAGGCTGGTGATAAACATTAAGAAGGCTCTTGATAGCAAAGAAAAGCAAGGAAGCTGAAATAATAGCACGGTTTGGACAGATGCACAATGGCAAATAGTTTCCAGACGGTTTTCTTGGAAGCGAAGTGAGGTGAACACTTGCAGACCCAGAGTTTTCATCTAGTCAGTGTTACTGGCTTTTCCCCCCCGCCTTTTTTTTTTCTTTTTTCTTGGCTTCAGTAAAGAAGCATGCTCAGCATGGCAGAAACAGACTTTCTCTGCAATTTTGGCAGTTCCCACAATTCTGTTATGGAGCCCTTGAAGGAAACAGCATTTGAGGAAGGGAAAACTCAAGGCTTCTGGGAATCTGAAATGCCTGAACTTTTGCTCTGGCCTTTTTATTGTCTCCTGCTGGAGAAGATATCCAAGGGCAGGTTGCACCCTTTCCGGGTTTCCTCCCTGCATTCTTTTCTTAGCCATAGATTTTTTTTAAAAATCAACAACTATTTTCATTTCTTCCTCATTTGGAAACCTAAGTGATGGACAAGCTGTTGGATTTATTGCAGCTCATCTCCCTTTGGTGCTAAGACAATAGCTCCAGATAGATAGATAGATAGATAGATAGATAGATAGATAGATAGATAGA